CGCGCACTGTTCCCTCTTGCCGGAGAGCAAGGAATTTCTCGCAGTTCGAGCCCTCCTGTGACGGTCGGAAACGGTCGAGCAACAGCCTTTTGAATTCCAACCAGTCGCGAATGGGCCGGCGCCCGTCCGTCCACTGGAACCAAGCCAGAGCCTCGCCATCGAGACTAATGGCCGCCGCCTCTAGTTTCTCCTTTTCATCCATACGATTTAGTGCAAAAAATCGCTCCGCACGGAAAATCCAGCCATCTGGATTTGTGCCTTCAAAAATCGGCATTTCAATTCGCCTTGTCATACCTCCCAGCCGGAATTCTCCTTCCCGGTGCTCATACGCCGGTCCGCCTCCGTTCCCTTTCTCAGCCCTAGCCTCCCTAAATTCCGAATCTTCTCCTCCTTGTTTTTGCAACAACGAATCCAATTTTCCCAAAATCAACGCCACATTCTTCTCCAATGCAGGAATCTTCTGCAAATCATCCTTAACTTCTTCCATCTCCTTCGCAATTTCCTCCCAAACCGAACTCAACTGTTCCTCCACGGTACCGAGTCTTTCCTCCAATTTTCTGGCACCCATCACAGATTACGCAAGATCGACGCTCTGATACCAATTTGATACGAGATCACCAACAAATCACCGGTAAGAATGCAATTACTCAAGTATTATTCAATTATCTACTATCGGAAAGATTCAATTAGGAACTTTCCACACACACAGAGGTTTTCGAGAGACCTCAACTCTCCAATTTCCTCACAATACAATTGTCTAACTGACTCCTCTCTTTATTTTCTAACTATATATCCCCGGATACTACCATAGACCGCCCCCTTAGAAAATTCCCCTTCTACCCCTGCCTTTTATTTCTCCTCACGTAAGTAAAGTGCACCGGTGGCCTATCACATTTCTCACAACTGGAAACGTAATCCCGGATTACTTGCTTCATGCCCTTCTAGAAAAAATTTGCCGAAATTCGTTTATAGGTGCGTAAGAACCCCGAGTGCCCCCCTAAGACCGAGTTGTGAAAATCATGTAACACCTGGGGAATCCAAGAAGGAGGCAGCACTAACCTGTTTCGAAACCACAGTATGCCCTTGCGGATGTCATAACCCTCATTCGTGGGACGTCCCTGGTTCAAATTACGGATGATTTCCAGACACCCTGGGTCTGTGAGTTGCCCCCGACAGAGGTCCGTCATGTTAAATTGGTAAGAGATGGAGAGGGCCGCAAATTCCACCGGAGAGGCTTCCTCCCTACGCAAAAGGGCATCGGCAACCTTGTTTGTTGCACCCGGTTTGTACTGGACTTCAAAATCGTAGCCAAGGAGTTTTGTTATTAATCGCAGTTGATCCGGCGGCAAAATCCGTTGATCCAAGAGGAATTTAAGACTCCTCTGATCGGTACGAACTAGAAAATGCCGCCCTAAGAGATAATGTCTCCACTTTTGAACGGCCAGCACTATTGCGAGGAGTTCCCGCTCATAAACCGACTTCAACCGGGAGGTCGCCGAAAGAGTTTTGCTAAAGTAAGCAATCGGCCTGCCCTCTTGCATCAAAACCGCGCCCACCCCACTGCCCGATGCGTCGGTTTCGAGGACGAACAATTTAGTAAAATCAGGCATAGCCAGGACCGGAAGTTCTGTCATCGCACCTTTGAGTTGACGGAAAGCTTCCTCGGCTGCGGAATTCCAGCTGAAAACGCCCTTCCAGAGCAAATCAGTAAGGGGCCGGGCGATAGAGCCATACCCCCGAACAAAGCGTCTATAATAGCCCGTGAGGCCAAGGAAACCCCGAAGCTCCCGAACGTTACGTGGAGTAGGCCATGACAGCATCACGCTGATCTTGGACTGATCAGCGGCCACACCCCCGGCCGAGAGTACGTGTCCTAGGTAGTGTACCTGTTCTTGTCCAAAAACGCATTTGCTGAAATTAGCAAATAAAGCCTCTTTCCGCAGCACCTCCAATACCTGCCTCAAGTGCAGGAAATGGTCCTCCCACGACCTGTTGTACACCAAAATGTCGTCAAAAAAAACTAATACGAATTTGCGTAAAAACGAACGAAATACTGAATTCATAAGTGATTGGAAGGTGGCAGGGGCATTAGTAAGGCCGAAAGGCATGACGAGGAACTCGTAATGCCCCTTATGCATCCGAAAAGCCGTTTTTTCCACATTGCTCTCGCGGACCCTGATTTGGTGGTAGCCCGATTTCAAATCCAGCTTAGAAAACACCCTTGCCCCGTGTAACTCATCAAGCAGCTCATCAATTATAGGGATGGGGAACTTGTCGGGGATGGTCAATTGGTTCAATGCTCGGTAGTCGACACAGAAGCGCCAGCTGCCGTCTCTTGCGGACTAGCAGTACCGGGCTTGCATAAGGGCTGCTGCTTGGTCGAAAAGCCCCGAACCCCATCTCCCCCCCCCCCAGCCTCTCTATTTCAGCCTTCTGGACCTGCGGGTATCTGTAAGGCCGGATGTTGGGCGGTGACACGCCATCCCGAAGGACGATGCAGTGCTCTCTGGTTCTTTGTGGTGGTAACCCCTCCGGCATACTAGATACGGATTGGAACTCCCGGACGAGGTGCGCGCATCCTGCCGGCAGTGGTTGTACATCTCCCTCAATGGCCCCGTCCTGTGTTGTTCTGATTTCCAGGAGCACCCCGACACCCGAATGGTTCCAAAGCCGTGACAGGGAACGCAGGCTAACCGGCGAGTAACACAAGGACGGATCCCCTGTCCAACAAATCCACTTCGAGCCTTGCTGGAAACGCATGGTAAATTTATCCCAGTCCGCCCGAACTTCCCCTAAGGTTCTTAACCAAGAAATGCCCAACACCAAATCTGCACTGCCCAGTTCAAAAGGAAAAAAGTCTTCGATAACCAAGTGTCCCTGTACGAGAACCTGGAC